GTATCTTTTTCATTTACTTTCATGCGAAATGAAAGCCTTCCAACCATTATGCATTACTATTAATTATCAATAATTTCAAAATTATTTATAGCCAAATATCGAATTAGAAAAAGCCTTTTATCTAGGTTCATGGTACTAAAGTCTTGCTGGCTTTCAAAAAAGATGGCAGAACTCTTGAATAAATGTATCGGTATGTATAAAGCAAGATAAACACTTTCCTCGTCAGGCCTTCTCTTAGAGAATCTCTGGACTCTCTCTGCGGATCTGGTTATTATAGGCTTTTGTGATCATACGATAATGTCTATGGAGGAGAGACTATGAATCCTACCTCTACTATTTGCATGTGCTGTTTACATGTTTGTGGATGAAATAAAATATTTGAGAAGTTTTGCTTGGCAGAAGGCCAAATGAAAAATCGACACGGGCTCAGTAGATGGAGCATCAAGGATTGCTTCCTTCGCTCGAGCATCACAAAGACTAGATACCTTCCATCCAGTTCTGTTGAAGCCAATAATCCAAACGATTCTATCCAAATTGTTACGTTAATTTAAATTTAAAATTAACTCCCACTTAAAAGAGCTTCTTCAAAGCATAGTTTTTCACCATACACGAGAACAAAATAGTTTTTTCTGGCATTAATCTTGAGCTCTCAAACATAAGACGTAATCAGAACACAAAATCGCCTGGAAAGAGCGATAATTGACAATTAAGCGTTCGTTTTTGCGTGTCACGCAACTCCTTACAACCAATGTTGTATCTTCTAAGGCTTTGAGCCTCACTATACGCTGTAAAAACCGGCCTGTCAACAGCGAATTTTAATAATTTTGTCCGTAGTGCATGCGCTAAGACAAGATTTTATGAACTTTTTCTCTTAACTCTCCTAGCCTAGTTCACAATTGGGTGTCTCCAAGGGATTCCACTTTTTGCGTTTTTTATATTTTTGCTTTCTTCGCCATCCCTCTTGGTTGTTTCTCTAGCCATGACTTTGTAGACGTACCTTTCACCTTTATTTTGGCACTTTTTCTTGTATATTCCATTTTCCTTCTAGGTGCACCTTGTCTCTGAGCATACTTGGTGCGAAGAATATCTGGTACGTTCCTTCTACTTGAAGAATCTGGCAACTTCTGAGACGCGCACTGTGACGCAGTTCCATTACTTAAACTGGCCTGAAGAGACGAGCCAATCCAAGGATGCCGTATGTCCTGTGCTCGAGTTTCGTAGGTCAGTCAATCAGACCAAATTTCTAAGCCTACTTTGAACCTTACTAAGCCCGTCTCAATGAATATTCCGTCTACTGACTACTGTTTAAATCTGTCTGAAAGTAGTGTAGTTGATTCGGTTTTGGGTCATTCAGGTACTCTTGAAGTACTTTAGTATCCCCCTCAAATATACTTCTCCGAATAGGTCTGATAGATACTTAAGCGCAATTTATAACCATTCCCATACTACTCATCCAATATTTATTCTGATGGTATGTAACAATTATTGGGAGCATATTTTTTCTGCTTCACTTAACAAAGAACTCTATAACATTGGAAAAATTTAAACATGATACCATTAAAAGAAACCTTTCCACAATTTTTCCACATTCAAATATTTATAGCATTTGAAAGCAAATAAGTAATCAACGAACATACGGGCATAAATCCAGTCCCATTAA